GGAGAAAATCACCACTCCACGTCACTCCTAGGCCAGAGAACAACAAACACCAGTAGCATTCTGTTTTGGAAAATCAGTGAGAAACCAGAATAGGTCACTCAACACCTGAGAGCATGCTCTGGGAAAATACTCACAGGAAATGTCATTCATGTGCAATCAGAAGCTAGCAATAGGCTGCAGGATTAGTCAAACACYGAAGAAGGCACTATTCAAAGAGAAAAGTAACATTAAAAGAGCGTAATAATATTCTGAATTTAGTTTACCATGCTATATTGGTGTCTCTTTACCATACTTTTATATTGTCTTCTTTTTCCCTCTGTGATTTGATTTCCACATGAWCCTAAACACAAGGTAGTGACTATAAGTCAAAAAATATAATAGGGACAGGTTATTTTTGGAGTCTCAAACAKTTGGCCAAATATTAGCAGGAAAAGCTCAAGACACATGACTCAGTAGTCCATCTGATCAGCCCATGGCATTAGATTCCATCATCATTAATTAAATCAGGTTCTTACAAAAAACAGTACTTATGAGTATTGGACTTAATTTCCTTTTCATTCAACAAAGGTGGGACTGTTTAAGAGACTGGAAAATAATACAAAGTAGACCATACATATTGTTTTGTTCCTGTTTTCCAAAACAATACTGAACTAGAAAGAATAAATGAGAGTCAAGCAAGAACCTGATCTAGAGATTTGTTTAAGAATTTACTTTTTCAAGTATTAGAGAAATTTGTTTGAGCATGCTAGAGGTTTCCTTCAACTGTGTGTCTAAATGAATGAAAATACTAAAAAAAAAAAAAAAAAATCAACAAAGCACTCGTTTTTCACTTGACTGACCAGGCAACCTACTGAATTTAAATTAAAGTTGCACCAAGTCTACTAGCAATTGTCATTTTGGACTGCTCTTACTTTCCATCAAGTCCAATAGCATTCTCAACAGCCCATACCAGAGGCCTTAGAAGAAAATGCTTGAACTTTGTCTGAGGCAGCAGCCTTGGAATGCTCTAATCCTGCCCCCAATACACACACACATGTAAAGCGCTTTCTCCTGTATTAGAGTAAGAAAATAAACTCAATTTTAGCCTTCTCTGGGCATGAGCATTCCACTAAGTCCTCTCTCAGTCACCTTAGCTTCATAAAGATCATAAGAAAAAACCCGAAAAACAAGAACTACCACACCTAAATTTCTTTTACTCCCCCTTAAAAAAGATGTGCCAAATATTTGAGAGCTCATCATGTTTTAGAAWAAAGCATTTTTCTTGTCAGAGATGCTTCTGCAAAATGTAGACATTCATGCACTGTCAGTAAACTGGCATTCCATTATTGTGAGAGGTTAGCTGTAGTTGTTTGTACAGTCAGCTCCTTTCATAATACTCTTAAGTCAATCAAGGGTCTTTCAAAAATGCCAGACCTGAAGTTAGAACAAATACACTTAAAATATATACCAGGCAGGTGCTACTGATCTTGCTGCAGCAATTCCACATTCTTTTCTAAACACTAAGTTAGAGTGTTATTTCATGAAAAAAACAGAAAATTGGGGAGAAGTCCAGGTACTTTTATATTAGGAAATATTATATCCTTTAGTTTATAGCTGCTTTCTGCCTTTTTGATTGAAAAGATTCCCATCTTGAACACTGATGAATAATACAGCTTTGTAAAAAAAAAAAAAAAATGAATCTCTCCTTGATACAGGCTGTTTCAGACTGATATTTCAGTTTGATTTTTGCCACAAGAGAGAGAGTCTTTAGCAAGASAGTCTTTCAGACAAATCAAAATTACACATTAATTGTGCCTACACTCTGAAGAGATCTCTGACCTTTTGAAATTCAGAGTAAAAAATTTCAGGGATGTATAGATGAAAGAGAAAGCATCTGTTCTCTCCAGAACTTCTCATTTTCAACAAAGGACTATGAGAGTGCTAACCTGGAGCTTCTGTGGCTTTCTATGACACCCAGAACAATGCAATGAATCCTGTGAGAGAGGGCATCCAGGCCAGCAGGTTTCCCATCTACACACAGCCAGATAATTACAAAAAAGGTTCATTTTGAAATCTCATCTGTGTTTATGAAGAAGATTCAAGTTTGTGTTTACCTCCCAGCCACAAAGCTAACAAACTGGTTGTTTGCAAAAGAAAATCACGGATCACAATGGATGATTATAGTAAATTACATCTTGATTTCAGAGCCTCTCCAGAGCTGCTGCTGATGCAAACCCCTCTTTCTTGCAATAAACTCATAAGCTTCTTGCTCCCCACTTTTCAGTTTAAAGGCAATACTCTCCAAAAACCTCCCACAACTTTCACTGGGACACAGGCAGACTTCAAGACCAGCTTCAAGTGCATTCTTCAAATTCCCCCAGTGCCATTGTTCCAAACTCCAATTTTATAGCTGTCCCCACCTTGTCAAAACTGGGCATGTGTTTTGCAATAAGCTGGCAGTATCTTCATTGTTTTATAGCTWCCTGTCTGCAGATGCCCCAGCACCCTTGCCATGTACACAGAAAAATTGCAAGCAAGAGACTTTGTGGCACACTGTCCCAGAATTCTCTAGGRTATCACCCTTCTTTCTGTATTTTCTCTCATTTCTTTTCAGGTTTCCTTTTGTCCCCACAGCCACACTCCTCACATATTGTCTAAAGCTACAAGCAAAGACAAAAGGGTCAGGCAATCTGTGTTGTAKAAAAACAATTCTTTATTTTCACATCAAAACAACTTCTATTTTAATTACTTCTTTGAAAACTTATTGAGTTTAAAATGTCCTTTTTTTAGCCTCCTCCTATAGTACAAGCCTGAATGGTTTTGCTATTACAGACATTTTCATGTTACACATGAAAGAGTTTTCTCTCTTAATTYCCTGCCTGAGAAAAGTATGAGAATCTGATAATGGTGCAAGGAAAATAAAGCCCTGTGATCAATGACAAGGACTGGAAYAGGTGCATGGATGCCTTAAGTTTGGCTTGGTAAGTGCACATCGAAGCCAAGATTACGATTTACTATGGTAAGTACTAAGGTCCACTAAAGTTGTAAGTAATAATGAGGTTTACTTAGAATTCAGCTCACATTACTCAATTATTTCATTCATCATCCAATTTTGACACACCCATTGTAGGTAATGTACAAAAAAATGTCTAACCTTTTTGGTGAAAAGCAGGATGAATTCAGATAACAAAGTGCAAAACACATGAAAGGCAATAGATAAACTCGGGTTAAATCCTCTCCAAATTCTCCTACCAGGCAAGCACAGAACATCACTGTTCACAGTGGCTGATGATTGATTCAGTATTGCATTTCAGAAGACATTGTACAAATGATTATGAGTGACAAAAATCTATCTCACAATGATTCCACCATTAACAATCRACAATATAAAAAATAACAACTTTTAGCAAAGTATTTCTTCAGCTCTTTAATTAAACCAATCCTAGGTGACACATTGCAAATGTCTTTATCGTGTGATCAGCCCTCTGTATCAAACTCCTATAAAACTCCCCAGTAAATTTGGTGTTTTGACATGAGTTACAGAAGCATGTCTGGATTATGTAACTCTTTTGTTTCAAGAACTGTGGAAAAAACAATGTATAACATGTTTTCTTGAAAGAACATGCTCCTTATAGTAAATTCCACCTTTGATACACTGACAGCCCATGTGGCCAGAGACTAATTTCCCACTTTCGGACATGCTAATTCCACAAGGATTAGTCAAACCAAAAAGGTTTAAAGTTCACAAACAAACTCTCTCAAACAAACTGTGCCCCACCTCAGTTCAATATATTGATGTATCACCTACAAGTCAGGTGATATCACTTTTGAACTCCAGATTTAGAGCTTTGAAACCTGAAATCAAATACTCACCAGGGAAAGAAAGTTAAAACAATTTGTTCTCATTAACAAAAAATGTGGTGTTTTTAACTGGAAACACCTTCAACAACTACCAACTATATTCTCTATCAGGATAGCAGAAGGCAAATATTGTAGCACTTCAAGTCTTGTTAAAAACTTGGTTTGTAATTAACTTGTCAATTGAGCCTTGGTTTTGACACAAAACAAATCTGTTTTCCCTAAAACAATCCTAAATTTAAAAAAAAACCCTGCCAAAGTAAAATATTCCACTTAGAAAACTAAAACCATTTTCACTGCAAACAAAATTATTCATTAAAAAAAAAAAAGAAATATTTCTTTTTAACCACACATACTTRTAACACGGAAAGGAACACCAAGGCTAAGCCTAAGCAGGCAAGGTGATTCTGCACTTTTCAGCATCTCACCTGCTTCCTTATTGCAGCTCCCATAGTTTCAAATACTCATTCCACTAATCCTGGTCATTGGACACTGTATGTTGGTACTATAGAGATTTTTCAGTGTGTTCATTTTCTGCCACGATTTTATGTTGGAGGCGTTTGACAAAGTGTTTTCCCTTCACCAAGCTATGCCTTACAAGATAAGCTTGTCAGCATTCCAGCAGGCAAAATTTCATCCTACATTAGCGACACAGAAATGCTGCTGTTTGAAGCTGACAAACTAAGCTTTGGTTTGTAGCTTTGAGTAATATTTCTCCTGCTGGAAAATGTCAATTCCCAATTTCCCAGCAAAACAAACAGCTCCTCTAGGCATAGAGAGGTCCAAGAAAACAACACAGCTGTAAATTTTAGGAAAAACTAAATTGTGGTTAATTCTTCTTCATACTTCTAAACATAGTATCTGAACCTAGAACAACAAAAGTTCTCTTATTTACCTCAGGCATTAAAAAAAGCAGCCTCAGAATAGACAATTCATTATTTTTAGTAATAGGCAATTCTGAATTCATCGTTACTATTAATTCCTGGTTTTTAAATATTAGGAAACATACTCACAATCAACTTTTACTATCTTCATTAAAATTTACACCCAACATGAYCTGAGGACAAAACCTCCTCCTACTGTCTCTCAAAATGCATTAAATTACTGTAGTGTAGTACATTTTATTGTCTAATATCTGTGTAATCTATAATATTGAGTGTGTGTTTTATTACACAGTACCACAAAATTTTCTGTGCAGAGATTTCTGAAACTGAGGTATATAGACAGACACATCCAAGAAAATTCTAAGGCTGAGATTTTGCAATAAGATCATTTGATGTAAATTGACATTATCATCCAGAGTCTCTCTCATAATTTCCTACCTGAGCTTCAGGGCACTAAAGAAGCTTCTTTTCCCTCTGCAATAGCATCTGCAAAATGACAATATGATGTGTATTGTACCTCTCAAGAGTCCATAAACTGTGACTTCAGTCTTCACTGACCTGAGAATATTTTCAACCCAAGATACTGTACGAACAGCTGTTTGACATCTCCAAGCACAAGCTGATGTCTGAAGAAAACTTGTATTTTCAAAAAGATAGTTTTGACCAYGATAGAAGTAGTTGAAACTGTTCTCCAATTATATTGAGGTACATGGCTTCCATGAGGATTRTGATTCATGTTTGATACATGCAACTAGCATATCATGAGGCAAAATGAGAGAAAACAGAATGTTTTAATAAAGCCAGGGAACCATTCCATGCAGTATTTTTCTTTGGAAGAACATAATTCCTTCATATCCAAAATCACAAACATACAAAAAAGAAAATAGACAGGCAACATTTTTCTTGTATTCTCCCTCCTACCCACCACCATCCAGTAGAACTATTTCACCAGATAACATATTCTGACCACCACCTAGCATCAACCTGCTTCCACATGCAGCACTGTCATTCTGGATTCATTTTACCTATTGTTTAATCCACCTCTCCACACTCAGCCACATTCAACAGAGATACTCAGACCTGGASCCCTCACTTTTGAAGGTCATTTGAGAGTCCATGCTCGACCTAGAGCAAAGTAGAAGCCTTTCTGACTCATCTGTGTACCTTCGTGCCCAGAGCTGGTCTCTTGCACTCACTGTTTGCGGCTTCAGCGACAGTGTTTCAAATTTCACATAGGTCTCTTTTGCAAGGTCAGCTTCCTTTGCAGATTTTGGTTTCAAATGAAGTTTTAAAACTTTGTAGAGTAAGAAAAATATCAAAGGTAAAACAACCACGCATGCTGCACTGCTGGCCACTATCAGAATAGAAAACTGAGAGCTGCTCTCATCATTTAACCCATCAGTGGAGAAAACAACACACTGTTCTTTCGTAGGTGGCACACCTTTGGGCGAGACACATGCCATATATTGAGTGCTAGGTTCCAAACCATCAATTGTGACTTTGTTTTTGCTAGAATCAGTGCTCAGAGGCAACATATCTTTCTCACCATATTTGGAATATAACACAGTCACAGCAGAATTGCCGGTGGCATTGACAGTTTTCCAAGTTAAGGTCACTCGTTCATCAGTTTCACTGATCACCCTTAGATTCTTCACAGTAACGTTTTGCTCAGCCACAGGTGCTGTATTCAATAAAGTGTCCTCACTTTTCTTGCTTAAATCTCCAGCCTGCTTTTTGTTTCCATTTGTCACTGCCTTTGAAATTTTCTTTCCATCTAACACGAGCCTGGATTGCTTTTTGTCAGTAAATGTCACGCTGGTTGATCTTTCAGTGCTAACCAGAGCTGTGCTGGTCGCTGTGGTRGGAAGAGGTGTGGTTGTCCTCTCAGGCTCCTGCTTGGATTCCTCCTGAGTTGTATTCTCAGCCTCTGGCTTCCTTCCATACTTCTGTGGTGACACAGTTGTAGTAACCACACCAACCACCGTGACTGTCACAGCAGCTTCTGACATTCCTGCCAAGTTCTTGGCTTTGCATCTGTATTCTCCTGCRTCCTTGTACGAAATTCCTGTCAAGCTTATTATGGACCATCTGACACCCTCTCCAGGTGTTTCTTGAATTACTATGGGAAAATCCAAAGAGTAGAACATTATGAAGGGGAAGTAAAGTGGAAATCAACATTCTTAGACTACTTCTTCCCTTTCTGACCAAAGGAATCACATGTGTTAAACTCTCAATGAAACACAAGCAATCACAAACCCCAACAACGACCTGCAACAAATCAAACCAAAACTTCCAACACAAACTATGAAATTCCCAGGCATATTCTATTATTAAATAAAAGTGCTCCGTTTGGATCAAAATAGAAATAATTGTCTGGAGTAATTAGAATATAGTTTGGATTTTCACCAAGAAAAACAAAACCCCATTAAGTGAAGTCAAATGTCTTAAAGCTGCTGCTGACTCTTAAACACCAGTCCCACTGACTTCACATGACACTGGCCATGTTACMCATTTAAAGCACTATTGGAAATTACCTTTGCCCTAAGATATTTCACTATTCTTACCTTCATCCTATTCAGACCTATGATAACTGCTAACTCAGTGGCATTAGCAAGTAGTATTTTGTACATCTGAGTTACTACATAGATATCTGTCACAGCTGTTAGAATGATATCAGACAACGCAGCATTTGCAAATAACACAGAAAACATGGATTTGCAAAATCCTGKGTTTACAATGCTGAGTTTTAAGTGGTTCAGCTATGGTCTCACTGGCTTTTTTAACACGAACATTTTGAAATAGAACAGATATTCCAGAAACAAATTCTCCTTTCTGCTTTCCAGCTTCTGAGTTAGGGCCCTACTAACCCAATCTCCATTTTCCTTTATTCTTCCCCCACTTCATCGATTTCTGCCTTCCATGCACAGTTCTTGTAACAGACCACATCCAGAAGCAAAACAGCCTGCTGGACCTGTTAAGACTGAGAACTAGACAAAGAATTTCGTAACCGCTGCTGCACAGATCTGATTGCCAGTTTGATGCAACAGCTGCTCCATTGTTACTCATGGCAGTGATCTCAAAGCACAAGCCACCCAACAATTTTAGTTTCTCCCGTTTCCTAGAGAAGAGCAGTTATACCTGTGTAGTTCACTGGGATATTGTCTGACCTAGTCCAAGTGAGCTGTGGTGTGGGGTACCCCGTGGCGTCACAGCGCAGCAGGACGTTGCTGCCCAGAGGGGAGGTGATTTTTGTCGCTGATGTCATCACAGATGGTTTGAGACACTGCTCCAACTCAGCCCTCTGGAACAAGATTCCTGCCAGGCTCTCGGGTCCACTACATGAAACCAACGGATCAAGAAGCACAACRGAGGTGTCCACGATTTTGGAAAATTCGATTAGCTTTGAAATGCGACAGTCACAAAACCATGGGTTGTCCTGAAAACCTGAGGCAGGGAGGGAAGAGGGAAAAGGAAAAAATGTTGTCAGTCAATATATGGATATTGTGATTACAGTATAACACATGACCACCACCAAATACAATCAAGGACAACTCTGGACCTATTCTGAGTCAATCTTTTCTCTTTCAACTTGAGTTTTTTGTTCAGCTGGTTGGTGGGGGAGTATTTGCAGAGATTAGGGAGAACAGAATGAATGTTTATTAAGCTAAACTTCTTCACRGAAATTTACAGGAGCATAGTGATGTGCTGGCACTACCTATGCTTAACTTTGCTATTTATCTAGGAAAAAACTCGTTGAAAAGATTTTTTAAAGCTGATGATCCATTTTCACCTGCCTGTGCCTCCTGGAAAGAGAGCTTCTCAGGGCTAGTGYCTCCAGTCACTCTCCTCTGCTCTTAGTCCTTCTTTGGGCTCTTACAGCTTGACCTCCCCTGACCCTTTTCTCAATGCTTGAGGAGAACACGGTGATTTAAGGGTTTAGAGCTTACACCAACATCTCTGCCACCTGAGAAAAAGGGATAAAGGCTAAGGAGAAAAAGCTTTAGGCCAACAAAATTCTTACCTGGTTCTGAAATACACCAATATTGTTAGGAATCTGGCTTCAATTCCGTAAAGCCTCTTAAATACATTCAAGAAGAATAGCAGAAGAGGAGAAAATAGAAAAGATCACAAAAAAAACCTTGATGACTACAATATTTTTATGATGGCACACACCTCTATCAGAGATAGAGAGAACTCTGTCTTCTGTCAGAGCCAATAACATTTGCTTATTGGTTCCAGTCTTACAATGAGAAGCTTCTCCCTCTTTGTGAACTTGTTATGGTGAAAGAGAATAGCCATTTCTGAGGAATATCAATCTAAATCCTCAACTGGCATTGATTGTTCCACCATGTTGGCTTTCAGAGAGCAACAGTGGCTTCACCAGGTAAAATACAACACAGCATACCACTCATGAGTTCAACTATATTCTTATTTGATTTATAATTTTGGGTATGCCTTTCTAATTTTTTCCAAAATATATATAAGTCAAACCAGTATGAAAAGAAAAGAGAGCCCTAATCACCTGCAAATCTTGTTCAGTGTGCATTGTCAAGAATTATCAAAACAGCTGTTGGAAAAACGATGGGCTTTGTTCTGGAAAAAAACTGCAGATGAAAAAATACATGAATAATTTACTACTGCTTCCCTTTATCACCAGACCAAGATTAGGTTATTTTAAGCACAATGGTAGTGATTGGTTAAAACTGTGGTAAACCCCAATTAATCCCTGTTCTTTAAAACAAGACTTGACCTGAAGAGATACCATGACTTTGACATCACAATCCAATTTCACCCCTCCTAGACAGAAGAGATTTTACATCTATTCACTACTTATTGTTTGCTGGAACAGAGATGGAGAAGCAAAGGAAAGTGTATCAGCAACTGCTTTTTCTCAAAAMAAATGTCAAAAATAGAAAAATTTTGCCTGTGAACTTCATACATATATTCATAAAGAGAAAAGATACCATCCAATTGTTTTCCATATCTAGGCATATCAACTGTTTGTGCTTATAAAAATTCCTCTCAATCAAGCACATGTATGTAACTATTTGTGCTCATCTTCTCTATCAGGGAACATCTGTTGTTTGAGACAATACTGTAATTTYTTTTCTTCTCACTTGCTTGTAAGAGGTCAATTTTCCTCACTATGTTAAGAAATAGTCTTGTCCCATACACTGGACAGCAGATTCTCCCTTACACTGAGCACTACTGAAAATATTTCTTCTGACACATTTCTGATTCCTACAAACTTTACTGCAGGAAAGGAAGTGATTTATTATTGTTTCTAACCTACTCAAAGTGCTCAAAACCTTTGAAATAGAATCATGGAGTGGTTACATTAGAAAAGACCTTTAAGACCATCAAGTCTAATTGTAAAACCAACACTGACGAGTCCAGCACCAAACCACATACTGGAGTGCCACTCTACACCTYTTTAAAATTCTACCAGGAATGTTGACTACATCACTTCCCTGATCCCCCTTTCAGTGAGGGAACTTTTCCTAATATACATACACACCTACACAGCTTTCTTATTCTCCCAGTGTCCTGAAGAAAAGCCAAAGTCATAACAATAATTATCAGAAACTGACAAAATAAAAGGAATGATGAAGCAATGATGAACAGTCCTTAGATTGGGTGGTTGTTTAGCCCAGCCTGGGACACAGCTTTGACCATCTCAGGTCATTCTGAAGTCCTGCTTTCAGTTTCAGAAGAAAGCTGCACTCCCAGAAAACTCTGCACTTCAGTGAGTAGTGCAAAGAAAGAGTTATGGTAGTCAGTCACCTCATCTTCCCATCCATCACAATTCCCAGTGGAACTACCTAAATAAGCAGGACTTACATGAACATATATAATATATACAGCTTCAGGAGCTCCTGCCTTGCCTCTGTGGCACAACCCTTCTGTTTATCTGTGTCTTGCCAATACCTAACGGCATCACCATTATTTTTAGCCATTGTAAATCATCAAGTCATGTGAGCTCCCAAAATGAAAAGATGAAAGCACTATTGAGTTGGAAGCAAGGATAAAATGCTGAATTTCGTTACACTTTGGTCGGTGTTGAACAGAAATGTGAATGTAAACGTAGTTCCCAAACTACAAAGGGCATTTTGAACTTTAACAGCTTGTGTTGACAAGATGTTAGAAGTGAGAACAAACATGTGAAAGAAAAAAGAAAAGTGGGGGTGGGGGGAGAAAATGGAAAAGATTAGGGAGCTTTAATAAAAGAAATAATTTAAGAAGTAAAAATGAAAATAATAAGTCTCTGATGGCACATGTATCTGAGGAACCAAGAAGTCTTTTTAAATCCTGGATTCTTTTGTAGAAATATCAGGGCAGTTTGTTGATCTGAGGAAGAAATACTAGCCAAGGCAAAACAAACATTGATAAATATTTATGCATTGCAATATACCAATGCAGTGTTATTTTAATATTAATTATAAATTATAAATAGCTCTAAAACCTTTTATTCTAGATTTAGCATATTTTATATTTACTCTCATACATTTATATGTATGCTTGCATGTACAAGGGTAAACTTATATATATGTGTGCCTGTGTATGTACATTTTTGTAGTCTTCTCAGTAAGCAGCATTTCCCTGTGCTGTGTCAATATGGACTTCAGTTAMGAGCAAAATTTCCTTTGTAAATCAGTAACCAGACTCAGACCACAACTTGTGTAACACACTGCTTTTCAGTTGCTGCAAAATGGCAAGATGAAAAATATTCAAGTTTTGGGCTGAYAAAAATGTTCACCACAGCCTGGGCCAGCCTACCCCAGGCTCTTTCTGACTGAACCTACAGATTTTGGTCTATGGTTCTCACAGTCAATTCCATATCCAACACGGTCACACGGTTTTCACCTCATGACAATTGCTAAGGAATAGTTTCAGGAAAAGCAGTATCTACCCAATGGTCTAGCATAACAGCTGGGAGCCTGATGGACCTGCAGCATTCCAAATTTTTGGCACCTCCGCATGCAACAGAGGGAAGATCTCATATAACTGCCACTCTGTCAGATACTGGGCCCTTCTGCTCCTCTCAGTGACTCACTAGAGCCCACCATACGGAAAATGCTTCTGCAATCATTCCTGCCAGAAATGTAAATCTCTGTACAGCAGCCAGAGCTGAAACCCAGTTGTGATTTGGATCCAATTATTAGGCTATCGGTCCAGAGGTAACCAAGAAAGCCAGATGAATTCACACACTGCTCCCACAATAATTTGCACTGTTTAATTTTCAGCTCACTCCACAGCTTTGTTTTGAGCTGTTCCAACGGGCACTTGCCAATACAAAGAAGGCTGAGGCTCCAGGGACAGTTTGCACTCCAGGGATTGCTCTCTGAAAGGTTTAAGGATGAGATCACACCAGGATGGCTCCCCCTCTATCAGGTTACTGTCCCCAATGCAAGTGCAGCAGGCTTTGTACCTCCAAACTCTTCTGCATGTCTGTCAGTCCTTCAGGCACACATCATACCCCTGCTATTTTTCATATCACAAAAGCACAGCTGAATGGCTTCCAATGCAATTTTCACTTTTTTTTCAGGCAGGTTAGACTGAAGATAAAACATCCCCACTTCCAGAATTACATTCTAGAATCAYAGTAACATCCTGTAGAACCCTCAGKGAACCAAGGGCTAAATCTTACAAWGACAGCTTTCAAGAGAGCTGGCCCTAAACTGTGTGGATGAGAGCCAGAGTGAGCCATTTGGCCAGGAATCATTCCTGAATCCTCTTTCATTTAGCATGGTGCACACACAGAGGCACATCATCCCCACATGGGAGGTAGTAAAAAGCCCAAAGCTCTCAGTACAGAGGTGATGACCTGGGATAAGGAGATGCYAACATTCCAGTCCCCTGGCAATAGTCTTTGGCTCCTCCAAGAGTCCTTGAAGTTAACATGGGGAACACAAACGTTCTTATACATCTTGATGCTCAGTCAAGACAATGAAGATAAAATTTCCTCCTGGTGTTAAAAAATACATATGCAAGAACATATGMGTTTAGGGCCTTGCTGGTTTTGAACTTCTTAATTACATACAAGTGACAATCTTGTTCTGTCAGAACCAGGAGAGAAGACAGCTCAAGCCATAATTGATTACACTAATTAGAATCTGACCGCTGTTTTCCTGACTAGACAAAAACAGCATTTATTTACTCTGGGTTCCAGYTCCCAGCAGAGTTTTGGCTGCAGTGATTGTTCCATGTAGGTACATRGGTCAGGCTGAATGCTCCCACAGAGAGGGGCTGGAGCACATAGGRCACTCTTCAGCATCAAAGTGTGCAGTTGTGGGCATCACATTTTAAGAGAAACATGTTTTTTTTAAACTTAAATGAGTCCAAAGGGAACCAGTGACTATGGCAGAAAATGGAATTTTAAAAAAAACACATACAGAACAAATAAAAACCAAACCAAACAAAAAACAAATTTAAAAAACAACCGAACAAAGAAAAATCCACACAAAAAACCCAACAAAACCAAGCCAAAACAATAAATCCCACAACACCAAAACTAAACAAAATCCAACCTTAAAAAAAACCACACACACACAAAAAAAAAAAAAACAAAAAACCACCTACACAAAAACCTTCACATTGTATTAGAAGCTGGTGACAGAAATGGTGTGGTTAGTTAGGATGGCAAAGAGGGAAGGAAAACTTATGAAAGATTACTATAAGAGATGGTGATTAGTTTTTCTGTATGCCCATGCCCTGCAGGACAAGAGGTAATCAGCTTAGTTTGCAGTAAGGGAGATTGAGGTTAGATATTAGGAGAAACTTTCTCACTGACAGATAAGCACTGGAGAGGTTTTCACAGAAGGCTCTGGGGTGGTCTGGCCACAAGCTTTAAGAACAGCACTGACTTCACCAGAATGGCTCAGCTCCTCTGGATCTGTACCCCAGCAGGCTGGATCTTCCTGGATCACATACCCCTGTGATCCTCCAGCTCAGAGGAGGAGACAATCTATGGGATGCACTCCTTCCCCAGGCTCCAGCAGAGACAGGAGAGAGGTCAGAGAGGAAGCAGTGCCAGGGAGCACACCTTGTTCCTGACATGCTAACATCACTTTGGAGATGGTTGGAGCATTACAGCAACAGCTCAACTCTTCAGTTACCTTTCCATAGCTTGATAAATTCTATCAGCCATTCATTCCCGAAAAACAGCTGCTTTGTAAGYCCATCAGAGCACCAGTGAGTGTGATTGCCATAACTACAACTTCATTATCTCCAGTAATATAGATACTAAAACTAATACTCAGTGGAGACTAAATAAACTTACCAAAACAAACCATAACATAAAGAGCGTTGCACTTTCTAAACTCCAGAGAAAGGCAATGTTTTCTTATTTACTGTAGAATTTCTTATGTAGCAAGCATTGTCTGCCTGCATTGGGATGCACTAATCACAAAGCTATGAAGTCAATGCAAAAAAAAAAATCAGCTAACTCATTCACAGCTTACCCAAGGTACATTTACTCAACACAGTACAATGAAAGCACTACCTGGCACCTTCCATTCCCAGGTCAAAAGCCATAATGGCTGCACAGAGCCTCCCTTGGCATCTAACATTAAATTTAAAGAGAAGCAAGGTTCTGTTTAAACCCAGTGTGTGTACCCCTCTGGAGATCTGTGTTAAAACCCAGCTGTGATTCGTAACAGAAAATGGTCCAAAGGTCACATCCCAGTTCTCCAAAGAACTCAATGCCTCCTCCAGAGGTTTTGCCAGGACTACAAGAGGCAGGAAAAGTRCCTGCACCAAGGAAGCCTGCAGATGGCTCCCAGAGTTAAGAGAAGAGTATGCGCCCAGAGTTAAAGGGAGAGAAGAGTGTGTGTGGTTTTATGAYTTTTTTGGTGTTTAGTTGGTTTTTTTTGTTAATTCCTTTTCTTTTGTCTTACCAGCGTTGAGGTCTATGTAAGACAAGGAAACCAATTAACCTSTGGGACTCCCACACGAGATCATGAGGATTAGATCTAGCACAGTCAGCTCCACTTTACAGCCTCCTGTTGCCTTCAGTGTGGGGACAGGGAAAGAAGTAATGAGACGGATTTACTTTGACAGCTTTTTCTCACTTTTTAAAAAAATTTTGAATAAACGAAGACCCTGTAATGATGCAAACCTACAGTTACTGTGCTTATGAAGTGCAACCTACTTACATCTGTGAAGTTACTTATATAAAWTATGATCTGATTGAGTTTCAAGCTGCAGCTTCTGCTGTGAAAGAATGCAGATGACTAAATTAACACTGAATAGCAGGGGTTTCRATCAGGAAATTGGAAATATTGGGCAGTACAAAACAGGACTAATCTTTACCAGTGCTTATAGAATTACTGCAGTAGAGACAGCCAGCTGGTTTTCCTCCCTTCCACCTGCTACACTACAAAAACACCGAAACAARCACTTATATGTAAACAGGGATAGAAAAGAACACTATTGATAGAACTGTTCCAGCCTGAGACTGAAGAGAAAGGGGTTACCCTAGCAAGACTAGGAAGTGGAGATACAGTGCAAGAGAAAGCACAACACCACAAACAGAACTGGTGCAATTGCATAATAGAGAAAGGGATCAAATTGTGAAAAAATCAGAGTCTGACCAAACCATTCTTAAATACTTACCCCAAACACTGAAAAAATATTGTGAATATGCAGGGGTYGGATTCCTGCTCTCTCTCATATTCAATATGTAAATTGGGAAAAACTTCAGGATAATCAGTCAGCTTTAGAGTAATGCAAGGTCAAGAGRGGTCCTGGGGAGAGGAGAGCAGAGCTGCCCTATTTTGAGCAACCAACTCTATCTGCAGCATCATGTCACAGGACTGGCTCTGCATGAGCCTCAGCTCCAGCTACTTGCTTGGCTTGTGAGCCTCTGGAGAAAACCAGCTGCAAATGGACATGCTTCTAGTTGCAAACAYGTACAGAGATCAGGGAAATGTCACCAGAAACACAATGTAAAGTCCTGCATTTATATAGCTACTGAATACTCCATATGGCCTGTATTCCTAGGGACTGGATTCTCATAGCTTTTACTTCAGTTTTATAACTTTGAGGTAACAACACACATGGAGGTCACTGTCTTAATTTGATGGTTTTCTGTTACCAACAGAAAATAAATAAATAACAGCAGAGCAAACCAGAAGACTAACGTGAGTAAAAAAACCCCTCCTGCATCCTAGGCTGGTTCCCTAACTACTCTCACCCGCAATTTAATGCTTATGTATATTCTAATGAGTAATGAGGCAGGTTTAACATACCCAAAATTACTCTCTGTGTCACCAGAATGTCTGTGCTCTTGGACACGATAGCTCCTGAGAAGGGGGGCCAAATGTCCATGAGGTCTGATGGCAAGGTGGTCAGCTTGTTGCTGGATATATCCAGGTAGGTGAGGTTTCTCAGGTAGCGGCCGGCATCRGCGGGAATGCTGGTCACTTTGTTGTTGTGCAGATCCAGAGTCCGTAAGTTGGGCATCTCTGCCAGGGATTCCCAAGGGAAAGTTGAKAGCAGATTACCATCCAGCCTCAGCTCATGCAGTTGTTTCAAGTTATAGAAACTGCTGATATCAATGTTGGCTACACAGTTGTAAGTTACCCACAGGTATTTGAGATCCACCAGGTAGTAAAAGGCTTCTGTCGGAATCCTTCGTATGACAGTTTTCTCTATACGAAGTTTTACAGTATCCACAGGAACATTCACAGGGATCTCATACATGTCAGGATCATTGCAGAGTACAGACCTAGCATCAGGAGGAAAAAAGGGAGAGATATATTTCCATTTATTTATCAGAAATTTGAATTTCAGATTTAAATGCAAATACTGTAAGTTTCTGCAATACTGCTACCAGAACAAAGAACATGGAAATAAAGAACAGTCCTCTGCACAAACTCCACAAAAAAGGAGTCTCTAAAGACAAAAAGAGCACAAACCAGAACTGATCCTTTCTGAAATCTAGATTTGCCTGATTCTAAAGCATGTGAGCACTATTCTCTACCTACCCCACTCTACTGACAACTGAAAGACAGAATCCATTGTACAAGGAATAGTACATGCATCTATCTCAAATGGGAACTGCATGCCCCCTTGTTAAAAGTATTAAAACTCAAAATTATGACCACTAAGCTCTAATTTTTCTGTATGATGACAATTCAAATTATTTTCTATACTTACCTTTTGGAATAGAATGAAAATTGAAAATATACCAAAGAAAATTCAGTAAAGAAAATCTTACTAGGCCTCTTTTTGATGTCTATGTACAAATTACTTGCTTTGTAGAGAATGACAAGAACTTTCTGCTCATAATGATTTCAGTGAAATGGGATTTCTCTGCATTTTTAGTAATTTGATTTCAGAAATCAATTTATTTGGGGTATAGTGTTTGCACATACTAGCTTGAAGATTCCCCTGCCATCAATAAGTCTATTCTAATTTTCTCTCCATTTTCTCTAGATTATTCCTCTATTTTACTTTTTCCTCATGCAGCTTTATAGCAGATAGGCTGTGACAACAAATAGCAATGACAAAGAGTATTTCCTAAAATGGACATGACAATACCAGGTCACCACATTTCAAATTAACCTCCTTACTGTCAAAAATCATATGATTTACTGCAGATTAAAAAAGMAAAAAAAAAWTCTGTATTTATTTAAACCAGAATTAYCTCACAGTAGTTAACTAGTTTGCAKAAATAGAAAGGACATTACAATAGYWAGAAAGYCACAGAGCAGAAAGAAATTGCCTCCTGCAAAATGAAGATTTAGAGTAGCTMTTTGCTAAGTACAAAGCCATAATCACCATCTGCTCCTTCTCAGGAATGCTGCTAGCCACTAATGTAAAATATGCTTTCATTTCAACTACGCTAGAACTRATTTGCAATTTATGAGAACGTTATCTTCAATTTCTTCAACCCTTTTCCTTWTAGATTGCCCTATATAACAAATAATAAAATATATACCTTGATCCAGTGCCATCACTCCTGCCATGGTAAACACAAGTGCATTGTGAAGGACAAAAGCCATAAACTTCTTCAAAAAAACTTATTAGGAGGTAGAAGTAAATAAACAGATACATGGCTTCCTCCCAGAACTGACATGAAAAAATGCAAAAGCTTTATTCCTAGGCACTCATGTGCAGTGTGCTACCAGTGTGAATGTAGCCATCCATTTAGTAACAGCAGATTACAGCAGATTAGCCGAGATCTGGAGTTGCTTAACCTTCAAATGTATCCTGAATGGCATCAGTTAAACCARCTCATTCTTCACTCTGTCAGAACACACTCTGCTTCAAATCACATCCAACCGTGTTCCAAGGCTGTTCTAATATGCATCTTGTAGAGTTAGCATGCAGGAAAATACCTCTTTTCTTCTTCTAAGAGGAAGTGCATTAGTTACTGTCTAAAAAGTGTTCCAAGGCTCCTGAAGGAAATCTAGTACACTGTGAGGATATTGCATGGCATTTTCTTTAATATTGAAAATGACAAAGTAATAGAGAGCCTAGATTCCAGAGCTTTTAAAAAATCCTGTAAAAACAGGACTTTGCCAAAAATACACATATACTTTAAATAAGTTATACACTGCAAAGCCAAATGGTAGATAATTKAATACATACATAATAATTGAAGCTAGATCTATATAAAGTCATTTTTTCATTCTGAATAAATCCATTGCTCATACTGTGAAAGGTATTTCTTGAAAATTAAACATCAGACCTCTATAAACATAAGATTRACTTAGAAGTGATGAGAAAGTACCAAAAATATTTACTCAGTTTTACGTGCCTCCCAAGTGTGGCGCTTTAGGGTACATTTTGTCACAATTTCAAGATTTGCTGTGCAGTCACAAACACTAGAAACTTGGCACTTACAAAACAAAAGCTGTCTTTTCTACAAATTATKTTGGTCTCTGAGTCAAAATTTTWAAAATATTTTAAATATGCTGAAATYTCTTCAAAATCYTGAAACCTAGTAAAATATTCTATAGGTTTAGGGTAGACATTTTTGCATCCTGACATATTCACAGAAACAGAACTTTGCAAAGCATATCAACATGGACACTTGGTATGGAAATATATACAGCCATAGGGAACATCCAGAATATTTCAAATCTGGAAAATTTTCAAGGGAAGTTAGTGGAAAGTACTTTATGAAAGAAACTAATATATATGAAATACCTAGGGTCACTGAACCTAAGCCCTTCGCACTGCAGTCTCTCCTGGCCCCTCTGTCACCTTGCCTAACCCTGTAAGAGTCACAGTGGCCATTTTGCCATTGTTTTTTGTTTGGGACAGACATATTAGGCCAATAAACCTCACTCTCAAAAACTAAAGTCTTGGTMGGTTTTGTCTCCTTAACTTCTCTAAAAAGATTACTGTGACTGACACAAAACAGCTGGCCGGGAAAGTTTACTATTCAAAAAGATTAATTGTCCAAAAGATTAATTAACTTGAACCCAGATTTCACTCCTTTCCATGTAACTTATGCAGGCAAATGACTGGAGTTCTGTGATGTCAATGCRCTTTGAGACACGCTCATGGGCAAGGCATTGTTTATGGTTATCTCTTGTCTTGTCTGACATCGCACCATTGCCATGATTGCCCTCCGAAACCTGCAAAGGGCAAGAAAGGGAAACCAGAGAGATCATTAGCTGGAGAAACAAACAGGATGGCCTTAACTATTACTTAACTATTACTTAACTATTAATAGCTTTCAATTTTAGTAGAACATACTTATTAAAAAATCACACATTTGGAATTCAAAAAGGTCTCTTTCACTTCCATGTACAAAAATGTACAGCTAATTTCATTTCTTCAACAGGGATCAGAGAAGCTTTTGTTTATCCCAAGAGAGGGTACAGCCACAACAAACATGAACTTACAGAATGGGAAAAAAAACAGATGTTTTTCCATTGACTCAGCAGGATCAGGTATGCTCACCGAGACAGAGACCACAGGCTCTGCTTGAAGGTTGGTAGCAGAGACAGGAATAATGCCTCTTTGCAAAACCCAGTCCTCAGTCAGAGGCACTTGCTTGATTAGAGCATTTGTTATGGTTGCTCAAATCAGAACAGGCTTAACCTATTTACTTTAATGAAAAGGGTCAATCCATCCTAATTAGCCAGAATAAGAYACATCCCAAATCAAACAAGAAAATCTACACAAGTTACACGTCACTAAGCCACAYACTTTGGCCACAGTCATTAAAAGCAGTCTACTACTGATACAACACAAATTCCATCATGAATTCCCTTGAGAAAACACAAGTGGACTTTCAAATGCTATGTCAATGTGTTCTCAAAAMTATGTATCAATTCCGTATGTTCTGATGATTATCAAAACAATTTATTTTAAGGTTTCATGTCCAAAAGGTCATCTTGGGTAAATTAACAGTGGGGTATCCTCTGCTTTTCACTAATCAGCTTGTCATATTTTAGAGATGATCCTTCTATACTCAGATGGTAGGCTATAATCATGAAATAGACTGGTACTAAATTAAGAACACTTACTTTTTGTTTGCAATGACATAAATGCAMGGATTGTAGAAAGTGGAAGATTTTGCAAATAGAGGGGCTATGATGGCCATGGCAGGAGAAATTTTCTTTGGGTCTCCAAAGGAAGACCACAAACACACAATAGAATATGGAGACCATGCCACCAAGAACATCACAATCATCACAACAGACATCTGTAAAACAAGAGGAACAGACACGTGATCAATATTACCTCAAGATGAAGACCTCAAGACAAAACCTCCTAACACAAGCACTTGCACCTAGGTGAAAATAGAGCTATCCTGAATGAAACAATATATAAACAGGCACACCTGACACATTCTGACAGCTCACAATGAAATCTCACTTTGGGGATTTAATAGCATACCTCAATGCCATGTGTTTGGCATGCTGTCATTTCATTACATACAATATTTCTTCAATGTCAGCACTACCGATGATGTTAACTCTGTTCATCAGGAGTTTAAATTACCAGAGAGGACTTCACACATTAATTATGACCCCCACAATAAATCCCTCTGGGATACTATTACAGACCATAAAAATGGACAGACACAAAAATCTAAGCCAAATATTAAATTAGKATGTAATAAAAATGTTTTGTAAGGCTTCATTATGGTCCCATTAAATAAAAGGGGCTCTAGAGCACAACCAGTACACAAGCAGTGACTCTCATAGAAGATCCCTATTTAAATACAAACACAATACCTGACACAATACCAAAATGTAAGGAAGAACCCTTCAGTTTAGAAGTTTGTTGCATAGAAAGCTTACAGGAGGCTAATTTGCAAAAAACAAGTAGCCCAGTTCTAAAGGAGGATATTGCTTAACTCCAAAGCATCAATCTTTTTTATTATAACTTAGTGTGTTCAACTGCAAAATAGGACAAATGCATTTGCTTCATAAACATGAGTCTAAATTTTTCACTGAATCCTCAGTTTCAAAWATTCTGAAAGTTCTTCATAAAAGTGAAACTCTCTTTTGGTAAAAATACTATTCTTTGGAACTTAGCAATGAGAAAGTTTCCCAAGGAATGCTAAGTTTGCACTCTTAAGTGGCTCAGAAACATAGGTACATACTCTTCTGTCACATTCTCTCTCACTTTTTCATCATGCCCAACCATAAATCACATCTTTACACAAAATCAAAGGAGCTAGTGAAGTTCAAGATTTCTCAAGGACTTTTATACATTAAAAGAATGTCAACTTTCCAGGTAAGATATAGAATTTCATGCCATAACTCACATTTKCTACTGCTTACATAAGAGATAAGCTCAACAGTCTGAAAAGAACAAGGGATTGGAATCACACAGCTTGGAAGCTGAAAATGCACTTTCATTCCTAGGCCATGAGTTCAAATCAGAGTTGAGCAATCCATTTCAGACCAGACACATCTGTGAACCAAGCAGAAAGCCTAAGGACCTACAGACCCAGAGTAAAAGTTCTCCTAGAGCACCTCAGAGGTACATTTCTAGATAATGACACAGGAGAGAGGCAAGGAAAATTCACAGTGTTCCCAGCCTTCAAAGTTGCTATTCATCTGGAAAGACTATTAGACCAAAAATAAAGAATCTAGTGTGATAAGCCAAGCCAAGAGTTTTCACCAAGGCTCAGAACCAGCTAATATTTAGTATGAAAGAAAGAGAGGAATCTAGGGAACCAAAATGCTTAAAAGGCTGCACCGTTCCTTCGCCGTTAGGATTTTGACACAAAAGAATCAAAATGCTTGAAACAAAACATGCACTCATTTACCTTACCTTTGTCACATCTACTTGGTCAGACCAATCTATGTTAATGCTCTCCAGGCAGTTACTGCTGGCATATTGTTTCATTGTCCGGGAAACATTGTAATAACAGTAAAACATGACTGTTAAGGGTACAACAAAATTAACAGCAATTACACTCATTGTGTAGGAAATAAAGGACCTGATAAGACAGAAAAAGAAAACAGAGTAACTTACAAATAGCCATCCAGGGAAAGTTACCAAATAATTTGGTCTTTTGATTTCATTAAGAATTTTATAACAAGCTCTAAAATAATAAGGAAATTTTTTTACGGTTTTTTTTTTTTTTATTAGAAATTTCAAGTATTGAGTTGACATGGCTCAGCTCCTGCAGGTTTTTATCCTAGACTTGCTCTATGTTATTTCCACCATTTTAATTTTTTTTTTTACTTACGCTTCAAACTTCAGAAAGAAGTTATGCTCATATAGCAGTGAATTAAACAATCTTAGACTTCAGCGAGAAGCAAAGTTAAAAGAAAGGGCGAGGGKGACTCTTACGCATCATTTTTCCTCCAATTGACGGTGCACGTGGCTCCAGTGGGATCGGGAGCGTAGCTGGCCCAGCCCGCAGTGGGCATGGAAGCCCAGAAGATGGCATTGATCCAGGCAGCGAGGATGAGAGTGGCATAGCTGCGGGCTGTCATTCTCCTTCCTGCAGCCAAGCACAGACAATCACACACAGCTCTCATCTGCTGCTTCTAGTGTCGAACTAGAGGGACAACTGGCTTCCAGCAAGCACATAATGGGTTAATAAAGACCCTTTCCATGGGGGAAACACTCCCAAACACTGGAGCATGTGTGCTTCATACTGCTGACTGACACCTCGGTCCCTGGCAAAGCCACCTGAACACCATCACCCATCCCAGCTCTCAGCATTCAGRCAATACCTGATCCCAACCCCACGCCAAAAGCTCATTACACAACAGTGCATCCAAGTACATCCTTGGAAGATTGCAGGGCAGGAATTAACTGTTACAACACAGCTGGAACACAGGAGAGAAAAACACCCAGGGTGGCRTTAACACAACACAGGCACACACCTGCTTGACAGAGGTCAAAACTTCACACTGCCAGAGGCTTTTTGTGTGCTTTTCTGTGTGGATGTGGCCCTCTAAAGACTGAAAATGGCCATGAAAACACAACTGACAAACAGAGTAATAGCCTAAAGGTGAATTTTTCACTTAATGAGCAGTATGCCAACTAGATACCCAACTTAACCAAGTACTGTAGGTTCAAGTTACACTCAGCACTGTAATTATGGAGTCATTCATGAGAAAACAATAGAATCAAATCAGAATTTTGTTGCTCCCAACAGTAACTGATTTCTGACTGTAAGTACAGTACCTATATCAGGCCTGCAGATGGTCAGGTAACGGTCAACTGCAACAACAGTGAGCAAACCAATACTCGCCATCCCAAAAAAGATATTTAAAGCAGCATAGATCTGAAATCAAAACAAGAAGATCCTTTCTGAGAAATCTTTCAAAGGTACAAGCACAAATCTGTGTATTGAATCAACATWMATCATTCAGCCTTCCATARGCAAGATCTTGAAGGAACTAATTCMATGCAGGCAATTTGAARCCAGCTCATTAGAAATCCTAAAGTCAGCAGTCTCATAATCAAAGAAACACTGTCTTTCAATAAGTAAATTTTTAGATTCAGAGTTTGGAGAGGTTTATTTCATGTTTTCAATATATGTTAATGAAACATTAGCAAATATGAGTTCTTAATTACCACTCTTTCATCTTTTGTATAACAACACTTATTTCACAGATATGGCCCACTGATTTATCCCCTCACCCCCTATTTTTATGTGTGTCAGATCTTTTGCACAGAGTGGCASATGCTGCAATCCCAGCATGCTCCAAATGCATCATCATCCCATGGGAAGCCTGACCAGGAAGCATGACTGGGAGAGCTGTGTTACCACTGGCACATGGCACCAGCAGTTACAATAGAGTCACACAGCATTCAGCCATCTCCCATCACAGGATTYATTTGGTTTAGGTTGACATGAGCTGTGCTTCAAGTGGTCTTAACTCTCAAAGCCTYCTTGGTGAGATCTCACATCAACCCACACACACTCCAAGTCAATCCAGATCCAAAGATGTTAAAAGAGAGGCTTCCTGTCAAACAGTGACTGAATTTYGAGCTTGAAGCAACTGTCTACTGAGGCAATGTCACATTGTGATATGCATCTGTTATAAAAATGTCCRAAATGTTTCCCTTGTAACACATTTTCAGTATATGCCTTCACATTACTACTCATACTCCTGGGCAYTTAAGCCCACAGCCTATCAATAATGTGAATTAAAATGAGAACACACAGTGAGCAAAGGCCACCATCTCTCTGCTATGGAAGTGTATTTTTTTTAGTCTATTCTTAAAGACAGACAGCTATTAAAATTAGGCYGAATCTTTAATGGAGACCAAGAGACTTAGAAGCCTCTATTTTGGACATCCTAATAGTCCCATCCAAAAAGGACACGCATTTGCCAAGCAGAACTCACCAAGATCTGTCAAACTCACCATCAAGACAGCAGCCACAATCAAAGTCTTTTAACTATCAGCTAAGTCACCAAATGAGCATGTGCTACTATAACCATCTTCATTCTGGGATTTGATTTTATAAGCCTTCTTAAAGCTATTTTAAAATAGTCTAGTTGATAGATACAAGGTTACACTTTGACGTTTTCAGTAAAAAAAAATTTAAAGCGAAATTCACATGAAATTCACATGTCTCCAGAATTTGCTTACATCACAGAACACTGGCTTCACAGCTCGATTCAAATTCTCCACCTTATCTCTTAAAATAACTAACATCAGGTAGAGTCATTACTTATTTCTCAGTTTGCTTATAAGTGSTCAAARCTTTCTCTGCAACTGAATTGCAATACCTGGCATCCAGTATATCCAAATTTCCAGCTTCCATGCAGGTCTGAGGCAGCAGACATGGGGTAACCAATGCCACTGACACCAATGTCAGTAAAAGCCAAGTTGATAATAATTGCATTGGTTGCTGTCCGAAGCTCTTTGTACTTAACAAAGATGCCTAAGACAACAATGTTACTGAATAAGCTTATCACTCCTGTAAAAACAGAAAAAGGAAAACTTTACAGAAGATACACACCAGCACTACACATGCACAAGACAATGCAGCCAACTRTGATATATAAGTCCCAAACAAGCTTTATTTTCAGTCAAGTGTAATTTTGCAAAGAGGATAGACACCTGAAAAGGAGAAAAAGGCTTTTCCAATTAGGCAGCCTTCCCTTGGATTCAGTAAGCACAAATAGTGGAGTATTTGCCACACCTGAGACTTTTGATGCAATGACAACAAGCACAGCAGAAATTCAAATGCATCTAGGATTACACTTCAAACACTCTGGCCACCTAGAACAGTGCTGACCTCTCTGGTAAAGAAGAATGCAGGTTGGTGATAGGAAAAAAAAAAAGGTGTCGGAAAAAAAGCTTCCAGCACCTGAGGGTTTCCATTCTGGGCAGACAGCTTSCACTGTGCTTTCAGACAATAACCCTGGGCAAAAGGGATACACAAGCTTTGACTTTGGTATCACTATTTGAGCCAGACAAACYCCTCTCTCTGCTCATGAGGTCCCAAGCTTTGTCAGCATCAGAGTTGGCTCATGTTGCTGCAAATTGTATTTTCTAAATCTTGCCAAGCAGTCTGGATGATTTGCACAGCAGCATGGTTGTGCCTGCACCARAGCTTTCTCCTCCACCTGAAAAACTCTAGGGCTGTGTCATTGCCATGGGAAAAGTCCAGCCCTGTACTGAACTTGCTCCTGCCTCACTTAAAATCTGTGTATTTTCAACCTTTTTTTGGTCTGGCTTGACTCAAGCTGCATCTGAAATCTATTCTTAGGCAAACCAAGAAATAGCCAGGAGTCTTCTCAAAAGCATTGTAACAAACTAAAGCTAAAATGAACATTCTCTCTCATATCCAATCCTTCTGAAATTTGCTTTGGACTCCTCAAGGTACCCGGGACACTCTTCAGGACCCTGTGCATCAGGATGCTTTTTCTGATCCTGGTGTCCTCCATACCCTTATTTTCTCCAGCTACTYCCCTTTCCTAGCCAAATCCTACTGCTCACTCGTGGAGTGACTTTACATGGCATTCCCACAAAGCATCTTTTTATTGTTGTTGCTTTTATTTTCTTCAGACTCCAGCCCATTGTATCCAGAGGTATCCAGAGCAAACTCTCACCCTCTAATACTTTTATTAATACAAAGTATTAATAAAGTTAATAAGGTTAAAGACTCTACCTTATACCTCAGCAGAGACAAGACTCACAGCCCTTATCAATACAAGGGAGAATCCAAACATGTTCAAGTAAAGACAGACATTAAAAAAATTACTTGCAAATAATAAGAGGAATTTATAAGTTTTTCATAGATTTCCTAGTCTGGCACAGCTGCTACAGTATCACAGAACCAAATCCTAAACTTACAATTTTTTGCATAGCCTGGGCACCTTAACTTACAAGTGCATAGTGGAATGTTATTTTGGTAAAAGTCTAACAACACACTGTCCATGGAAATGCCCCTCAGAATTTTTCATTCAGTTTGGGGTTTTGTTTGTTTTGCTTTGTTTATATTTCAGAAGTTTCACCTATGAATTGACACATTACAGTTTTTGTCATCACAGATCTGAGGAATGATTCTGTAAGGTGCGTGAGTGAATGACTGTCATATATCAAGCACAATCCTTTTATTTCAGTCACCCTGATACCTCTTTTATTATACCTGAAAATCATATATGGATTTTCACTGCCACATTTTATGAAACATCTCCTATATTAAAGAAATCCTCTTATCATATTCAGCAATTTTAAAATAAAAATCAGGCAAAATCAGAGTTAACCCTCAGCTATCACTCTTTTAACATCACCAAGGAAGTCTGTTCTCAGGTGCAGGTCTCCTGTTGGGGGTCCAACATCTTTTGGCCACACAGATGCCATCTGTTATCATTTTCATATATTCACACATTCCAGGAATGACACTGATCATGTGTGCTCCTAAAACTAACTGAACCAAGGAGCTGAGGATCTGATCTGAAATGAACACCATAGTAAGAAAAAAACACTTGCAGTGCCAGTTCTGTCAGATCTCCTGTTGACAGATAGTGTGTCATCTCTTGGGAGAAAGGGAGCAAAAGAGAATTACAAGTTTAATAAAACGGGCTTCTTATGAGGCATGTTTTAACAGATATTACAGCTATCAAAAATGAAATGAGAAATACAACAGGACAGTAAACTCATATCCTCAGGGTGAAGGAGAGATCCTTCTAGACACACTTTAAAAAAAAAAAAAAATTAATAATTCAGAGTCCAGTCTTAAAAGTCAGGTGGGGAGAGGGGAGGCAAYAATAAACAGGAAAGAAAAAGTGAAAACTGCTAAACCTATATTCATTAAAAATGTTACTACTGCAAAAATAAACTCATAATAGAGCAAAGTAAGAATGTTTTGAGGAACAACAGCCTCTTCTCCCACGCAACAAGCGATAGGGTGAAAGGAAATGGCCTCAAGCTGCACCAGGGAAGAGTACTTTTGGATATTAGGAAAAATTTCCTCACTGAAAGGGTTAGCTAGCATTGGAACAGACTGCCCAGAAAAGCAGGTGAGTTGCTATCCCTTGGAATGTGTAGATGTGGTGCTTATGGGACATGGTTTAGTGTTGGACATGGCAGTGCTGGGCAGTAGCATCAAAATAAAAGAAATCAGGTACCTGTAKAACATGAAATTTACTTTTCTAGCTAGCATTTTAAAATTATGCCAGAGTATTTCATCACTACAATCAGGAAGATATCCACAAGGCAGCATAGCTTGCTGCAGCCTGAGCATCCCTGTTGTCACAAAAATKAATGTACTGACCACTGCAGAGTGCAATGCTTCACAATTACTTCCTTCTCAGAAAACRAGAGAGAAACCTTAAACCTTTTAAAAAGCAGTGTAATGATGAACACTGTACCCAGACTTCATTCTCATTCTTAGACATCTGCTTATTAGCAAGGCTTAAATTTTCCAGATGTGAAATTTGCTGTGGTAAGGCATTTGCAAAGCAATCAATCATACTTTCAAATATTTTATGGATTTCATTGTCAAAAACATTTCTCATTAAGAAAGTAAAGATTTACTAGACTTCCTCAACTATAATTAGAAAAAAAAAACATAAAACAAAACCTGAAACCACAAGTAATCAAACTTTTTTTTTTTTTCTAAGATATTCCATTTTGGTGCAAGATTAAGAAAAAAGAGCTGGGTTGATTCTGGCTAATTCCACTGACATMCTGTGATCACCAATGATAGCTTTGATCCTGAACACCAGCTGGTCAAAACTGTAGGAAAAKATTTCCTTGTTACATACAACATAATCAATTTTAATACAAATGKTAGAGGTATTATCTGAGGCTGACCATTATCAGTCTCTACAGCTTCTTAAGAAGCCTACTGATCTGTGTAGCTGTTCTATTAATTGCTCTAAAGACCTTAAAAAAATTATTGTCTTTGCATTCAAAAATACCCACTTTTCCAGAACAGCAATTTGATACTCACCACTTCAGACATATATGCTAAATAAAATGTGCCCATTAGCAATAATATTTAATGCAAATGTAAAATACGTTAATAAAGTATTTTCAAATCTAACTACAACATGGAAAAATTCGTGGTACAATGTATGAATCAAGAACAAACTGATATGATTTTCTGTAATTAAGATATAGAAGACCTATTTTTAAACACAGTAAGTTGCAGTTTTGGTTAGGTGGATATTACATTATTATGGCACTCAGYGCTTCAGAAAAGCTCAACTGAAGCAGTTGTAGTTATATAATCAGAAAATTTTTTAAGGAGGGGAAAAAATCATAATCATTCAAGTTTAACCAAAGACCACTGCAGTCAAAGGGAACAAACACGATGTGAAGCCTCACAGTGTGCTTTTCTAACACATGTCATTGGTGAAAAATACAGCTGCAATTGGAATCTGCTCTTCTCTGATTAATGACCAGCTCCCTCCCTCTAAGTCACATTCCAACCCTTCCCCTTACATCCCCCTAACAGACACCCGCTCACATGCTCAGACTACACATATATTACTACAAACATGTGCTCCAGGAGAAATCTCAAGATAGCTTCAAGCACATCACAGAAAAATGCAAGATGTGACAGCTATGCCCTATTTTTATCTCTTTTGCAAACTGGCAGAAATTAATTTTCACTCTCTTCTATAATTACATATCAACAAAATGTATTTTTTGAGACACAACGCTGCCTTCAAATATAGAGCAGAAAACTTAGATGTTTCTGCACACTTCAGATGTTTCTGCATATTTCAGTCAGGCAGCTGATTGCTAACTTGTCAGTAAGTACAGAGAAAAGCCATCAGACAGCTGTCTAATACAAAATGAAATGCCATCACTGTTASTACAAAATGAGCATCCAGATCTACAAGTTCTATTTTTAAAAGTTACGCAACAATTTGYCAATGCCCATACCTGCTGTTATTAAGTAAGCTGCAACTATGTTGTGCTCAGTCTGTGTGAAGGCTGAATGAGCTTCATGGTCACTTTCTGAGGAATTGGATGAGTCATTCCAATGCATTTTCGACAAAAGATTGTCACCTATCCTCTGCAATAATTCATCAAGAAGACGAAATACTACAAAACCCKGTCAAGCAAATTCTTTCATTATTCAACAGACTCACTGAACAATTAAAAGAAGGGGGGTAGGGAGGAGTTCCCCTTGCCATTGACAGCTTCCAAGCATGATTTAATTGGACTAAAGTGGAAAGAAGTTTATGCTCCCAATCTATGCAGGAGATTGTTAATTAAAACAAAGAGCAGCACAGAACTGAACAAATTTTGAACAGTATGCTTAAACTTCATTCTTACTGCTAATGAGATTAACTGTCACATGCTCCCAAACTTTTTCCCCTCAAACCTCTTGTGCAATGCTTGGGAAACCTCAACAAAAGTTGACTCAGTTCAATCAATCAATCAGCCTGGCTTGGAACTAATTCCCATCATCACGCAAAGTACAAAAWCCTGCAGTACAACAYRAAGACACAAATTTCGRTTGCCTTAAAAAGCAGAATACATTTACTCTAAAACCCTTCCCTTCAAATCTTTAATGACCTACTTTTTCAAGACTGTTTGATTTAAACTCTCTGACAAAGACACAAGAAAAACACATTCTARTATTTTCCAAACTGAAGCATGATTTTCAGAAAACTCATCTGTGACATTTCTTAAATAGCCTAGTCTRTAGAAAATGGTTGTTGAATATGTGTTAAAAGGTTGAACATCCTCCCTCTCCTAAACACAATATTTGTAAGCTGACTTTGAGCAAATTTTCCAAAGCATGTTACTGGGCAGAAAATTACTGGGCATTTTTCAAAGATCTGAGCAGCAAAAGCTCACGGTGTCTTCCCTTCAATGACAAGGTATCAGCACAACAAAGACCTTTTAAAAAACCCTGCATAAATATTAGCTGCAATAAGTCCTTGGCCAAAGAGTTCATACAGTGTCCGAGAGCAGCTGTTTCCACTCAGTCCTGCTTCACAGTGTTTGCTTCCAGTCAGTTTTCATACTGAGTATAAAAGTGACAAGGATGAGCACCGGTGGTTCCTCAGTTTAGGTTCACAGGTAGGTCAAGCAGGTCCCAGGCTAGGGCTGTGCCTTCTGAGCAGCAATAAGGGTGCAGTGACACAGGAACAGAGCCATCCCATAGGAAGTATACCTGAACAGCTCTCTGTTCTCTAACCTAYGAAATACTCATTGAGCATTCCCTCCTGATCCTCAGCTCTCCAAAACAGACATCCTGCATCTTCAACCAGTTTGAATATAAAGGTAAGAAAACTTTTATATAAAACTTGTACAGTCACAACATTTAATAATTACTACACACAATCTCTTGTCACAATCCTAAGAACACATTTTCTTTAATGTCCCACATCTACACCCACAGCTCTCAGGATACTTGTATTAATACAGTTTTTTTCTGTCAGAAGAGGATTGGGCAGCAACAGGGTGGCAGGGTTCTGAAAGGAAAGATGATCTGTCTGGCAATGAAGCCACTTTACTCGTGCAACACTGTCCTGAACTGAAAGATAAAGGCATGGTGATAATTCAGTATCTTTTGTTTTCCTTCTCTTGACACTTTGGCAAGATTTTCAAAAGCACCTCAGATCTTGCAGCTTTCACAGAAGTCAGAGCTGCAATGCTGAATGTCTCAGAAAAGCAAAGCAATACTATTTTTATTCAGATAGGATTCCAGATGTACAGTAGCAACTAACAAAAGAAATTTTATGCTTATTGATTAAAACACAACTTTCTAATATGGGCAGTCACTCTTACGTACCATCACATTGTCTCTGCCTCTTCTTAAATTTGACTAATTTTACAACAACTGGAATTGCCAGAAAAAAAAAGTCAAAACTAAAGGCAGACATCATCAAAAGATTGTTGGTTTTTTTCTGCAACACTGTACTTCATAAAATAAAGCCAAAAAGATAAAMGAAGAAATTAAATATTGAAGTATACAAATAATCCAGGATGATGGAACCACAGCTGCTAAGCCAGATAAAATATGTTGCTTATTAACACTGCTTATTAATACTGGTGTAAGAAAATATAAAATCCAAAACCTCAGGCCGTTCTTATCCTCCAATAACATAGCATTACTGGTACCAGAGGGGCCTTTTATAAAGGCAAGTGATGCCTTCCCTTCCCACTTGTCCCAGGTCAGCAGAAAAAKGCAATTTCTATTTAAATTCATTCTTCAATTTGCAGGTATCACTATTTGTATGTGGGCCAATGCAATGTGGGGTTTAGCAAGCTGCTTTCAGTTATGTGTAAAATATGTATCAATGTACAAATGATGAGAGTAATGTACCTTTTGCATTTAAAAAAAAAGAAAAATCAGAACCCAAAACCAAACCTCTTTCTTTCCTATTTCCAGCAGTAATCCCACTACAAACCCATCCCAAACCCAACCCCACCCACATTTATTACGACCACCACCTCTGGAGGGCTCTCTAAGGAAAAATGTCTGTCCCTTTAATCTTTTCCCACACGGATGTAAATGGTTCAAACCCACGGAAAATAAATTAATAACTTACCTCTTTCTCCTCGTTSAAACAAACTTTTACTAGATTCAAACTGTTGGTTAGAAAAATTTTGTTCTGTAGAGATTTTCAGCTGGCAGAAGAAAACATCCTGAAAAACACGTGACTCCACAAAGCTTTTTACTTGCCATGTATCACACAATAGCTACACTTCTTTTTTAATAAAAAAACCACTGTTTCTTGCCAAGACAATGCTTTAAAAAACTGCAAAGTACAAAGTACTACAGTATGTGTGTGACAGTCCAGYATTCCTTCAGGCAAACATCTACATCTGCAAATCAGTACCAGAGAAAACCCTTTCTGATCTACAACTGCCAGTGTTACAGATTTACATTAGGCATCCCAATTATTTTCTGCACTTCATCTAATTTCTCTGRCAAAGTAATATAATAAATCTATTAAATTCATTGAGTCGTCCTATCCCAGCAACAGCAGGAAACACAAGGAAATTAAACAACTCTGCAAGGAATGCAGGGGCACTAAATACATTTATAATACACCTCCATGTATTATACTTTCTTTAAGGGATTTAGGTCCCAAATAGAAAAAAACATAAACCAAACATTTTGCTGAGGCATGGATAAAAGGCTCCAGGTCTTCTAGAAAATACTTGTAAGCAATCTGATCCAAGTGATGTATCAACTCTCAGTTTCAAAATCAGCGTCCTGGGCCAAAAACACAGCCATGGCAGTGGAGGAGGRCACAGGTAGGTGACACCAGTACCACTGTGCACAGTAGGCTGCTCTGAAGCCTACCTGAGCTTCAGGAATATTCCAGGACAGCAACCTATTTTGTGCTGCTGGAGCAGGTGGCAGTGAGAAGCTATTTAGATRKTGCAGCTATCTGCTTCAAAGGCTGYCAGTAAGGGGGAATACAGGGARCACCAAAGTGTCATCCAGAGCCTACACCAACACCTTAGTCCCACTCCCCTCACTTCAGACTGCACTGTGACTTTGCTTCCCCAGACACTACAACTACTTGAAATTTGCCATTTTTGCCAACATACCTATTTCTGTCAGGGAACCTGTGAGCCCCTTTCCTATTCTCTGCAGGAGCAGCACAGGATAATCTGTAAGCACATATATAAAGCTGGCACGTTTCACTTAATAGGATCGGGAGCACCAGGACTCACAGGCACAATTTGAATTAAAAGTTCAAGACAGAGATTAAGGTCTCATATCAAATTAGAGAACCTCTATTTTAGTTCATTACAGCATTACACTGCAGACATGTCACCTTAATTGTTTTGAGACTGAGTTTTCACCTATTACAGTTAACACCTTACTTTAGTAGGGCAGGGTCATGCCATGGCACAGAGAAGACAACACAGAATGTATCTTCCAAGTGCCATCCTTCCCCAGAATGGAGAAGGGAAAAAAATGGCACCATTATATGGCAAACACATCCAGACAGTGTCCTCGTATGTTCCTTCATTTTAAGAACATCCTACAACCTCCACGGAGATGAATTATAAATTTTCTCTGAATATTTTCATAAAATCCATCCAGCACTGTTTGAATRCACAGGCCACACCACAATGCTCCTCATTCATTTCCCCACTGGGACTGCAATCCATTCCCTACAACCCAGAGSCCAATCTTTCCTCCACAGCTGCAATGGATATCGCTGTTTAGCCCCTCTGCACAGAGGCCAAAGCTTTGGCTTGGCAGTGCTTTAGGCTGACTCRCTGCTCCATCTGCTGAGAGACTCACAGCACACAGGTCTGGACTGCAGGGCAGCACTGCCTGCAGCCAAACACTGCCTGTCACACCCTGCAATGCACAGGGGATGGCAGGAGCCTTCTGACAGCCTGGGGAAAAGCATGTCCCTAAAGAACAGCAAAGAGCAGCATCAATTTGGCTGTAAGAGAGAGGACTGTGTTACGTTAGAATAAGGAAAGATCTGAGCCAGCTGCCCACAACTARCTATTGAAGCATCAGTGAAGAAACCCAGCGCAGAAGATGCAGCTGCAAATGTGACAGCAGTATTGACACTGCAGCTGCACTTGGTCCGTACCATTCAGCCACAGTGTGGAATGCCCAAAATGAAATTACTTGCTTGGAATTTTGTCTATACAAAAGGAAATTCTACAATGCCTCAAGTCAAAGCCCTAAGGCTCTTAGGCCTAGCAATCCATAGCAACAAAAACCTAGTCATTCTCAGAATTCTGGATTTAAGTAACCTGGTTAAAGCTAGGCCTGTAGCAGTATCAGGGAAWAAACTAGAATCTCTCACTTCCTGAGTGCTTTGGGTTAACAGTAGACTCAGCTGCTAGTCACAAAATCAGACCTAGCAGAAATTCAATGTTCAGTGTTTTGGTTTTTTAAGCTGAAGACCATTTTATCTGTTATCCTATGCAGTATCTATTCATATTCAACTGAATCCTTTAACATTTGTTTTCCACTCTTCCAAATTTTGTTCCAGATTATTAAAAGTAATGGTCAGATTTGTTAAAACAACCAGTAACTGTCCAGTCTTGATAYTGAAAAATAACCTGTTGCCTTTTGWTAAGCAGAAGGCTAATACAATTCATCTGCCTGTTACTGCATTCATCAATCAAAAAGTCTAACAGTACAATCAATTCTGAACTTTTTCACATTGAACAAGGTGTTCAAAATACTTACAAGTACATGATTCTACAGATCCCTTTTCAAAAGTGCTTGGTAGGAGACATTGAACAAACTCCTAACTCCAACTGAAATCCAGGGAGGTTCTAGTTTTCACCTGTTATTTCCAAAGTTCCAGAGCAGAGAGTCACCCTGATTTCCATCCTTAAGAAGATACAGTCACTATCTTTTCCAAAATCCTCATTAGGCATCCATTTAAAGAGACCAAAGACTGATGCAGACCTTTCCATGCCTTTCTAAGCAATATGTAACTGAAAGGATTGTGTGCAGAGGAGCCCTATGATGGGCTATTTCATCTTCACCCTACACAAGAAGAGAGCACCACAGAGGTGCAGTGCCAGGACATCAAAACTTCAAGAGAAACAGGCTAAAAGGGGATGCAGGGCCAGTTAAAACCCCTTAGCATTTTAATATCAGTGTAAAGGTACTATGATCCAAGTACACTATTCACCTTGTCTTATTCATTAGACAGCAGCTTTTAAGAACATTTCATGATGACTTTGGCTTTCATTAAGATTTATACAGAAAAATTCACAAAATATACTTTGTTATCGGTCTTTCTTTTATAGATTATTATGTATTTGTTAAAAATTATCAACACAAAAGTTTGAAGTTTAATTCATAAAAAACAGTTCATAAAGGTTGTTTAAACATGGAATGTCCATTTCAGAGCTACCCAGAAGATCTGATAAAAAAGGAGGATGAGGACTAGACTTCGGTCATGTAGGTTCACCTGATGCATGGGCATGCAGTGAACCTTTAGAGTCTTTTGAAAATCCATTTCAATTCACTGTTTACGCCAAAATCCAACATGGAGTCAAGCATTGACTGCACTGCTTGTCAGAAACAAACAGTTGAAGACAAACATGGAATCCTGGCTTAGTTAGAGAAGTTTAGACATATTTTGAGCAGTCTTCAGTTCTCTCCTCCTGTGACCATTAGCAGTCATTAAGTGTAAAAACAGTCGTCTTTTGTAGCTTCATGTTCTTTATAAAAAGATTTTCAGGTTCTTTATAAAAAATTTTGCCTGATTCCTCACTTCTGCAGATGACATGGTAGGACAACGAGGAGATACTCATGGCTCCGTTTTTAATGTCCTCTTCCTATTTTAAGAGAAAGGAAATATACACCAAACAATTCACATCTTAGTTACATTTAAGGCAAATTCTACACATAACACTAAATGACTCGATAGAATAAAATGCAAAAAACTAACATGATTTTATACACTGATCAACAAATGCAGAATACTGTGCCACAGTTTAAGCTACTGGGATGCACAGAAATCTCTTGCACAGAACTATAAACATCTGTAAGACATTAAAAATCACAACATTCTGTTTAATATTTACAAGCTTTAGAAACCAGCAGCAATTCTTATTTCTGAAAGGTAAAAACCACACTCACCTCGAAAGCCTCCTCCACCACCTCTTCCTCCTCTGAATCCTCCTCCTCCTCCTCCTCTGCCTCCTCTGAATCCTCCTCCTCTTCCTCCACCTCTGCCTCCTCCGAATCCTCCTAAACAGAAGAAAGAAATTACCCTTTGAGGAGCTTATCAATTTTTGGTTATGCACGATGATTTATTTCATTGAGAGCYTCTGAAATAAAATTAAACAAGAAGAAACCAGAAACTGTCAATTGCTGGACAGTTACTAGGTCAGTTACTAGTACCTTGCTTCTTCTAGGGATCATCTGAAGCATTTTAGGTATTGTTTAACATCTGATGTACCATGTCCAAGATACTAAAGAGACTTAACATTTAACTTCTCTCACAAGAGTAAAAAATGAATTACATGTATTAACCAGTAACTGATTACAACTATTAGTAATTAKTATTTATTAATTACAACTCAATAGAACATTAAACAGCAAACCACTTAGAAACACTTGTGGCTTGCTGCAAAAGGGCAGGGTATGGAAAAAATGGGAGAAACTGCAATGCAAGAAAAAATAAACTGCAGCTTTAATTGAACTGTGCATCACATGTGATGTTCAAAATGCTTTCTGCCTTTGTTGTATATCTGCCTTCCCTCCTCCCTATGCTTTGGAGCTGTTATTTAGCCAGTCTTGCCACTGGAAAGATTCACTGCATTTTCTATTAAGTCAAACAGAAAGATGAACAACATTTTACTTTGCAATAGAGCTGTTGATATTCAAGTATTCAACAGTAGCTTTAAAAAAACAAAAAAAMCACAAATACTCCACAAAACAAATGAACAAAACAACCCATGGCACCTCAAACAACTCAGACATTCTGCAGCTTTCATTCTTGTGATCTTACCTCTACCACCACCTCTTCCTCCCCCACGTCCACCACCACGTCCTCCTCTACCACCTCCTCTGGGAGCACCTTTTTCTCCAGGRGGCCTTGGCAAAAATCTCTGAAGGGGCAGCAGCTTTGCTGGATCAATGTAAAACTGAAGGAAGAGAGTTCCATTAGGCYTTCAAAATATCAGGACTAAAAAGCCCATTAATATCTTCCTTTACAAATATCCACAATTTGGTCTTACCCCATTATGWCAAATTGTCCTCTGCAAATAGCCAAATAAAGAAAGTACACAAGAAGTAAATCACAGTATTAAAAAGCTGCTAAAATATAGGTGATACTTGTGCAATTTTCATTCGTAACATCTTTTCTTGTGGGGCAGAGAGAAGGAATGATGTGGCAAATGCAAAACTGAAAAAGAAGAGGAATTTAATGCCTATGTTTACAAAGGACAATCAGCTTTCAAACCTATTAAAAACTTAATAAAGCTTTTATTATCTGCTGACAGAGTAGACTTATCTAACAGATGACATACAGTAAAATTCTGTTATGGAGATTGGCTTACCTTTTGCATTTTTTTAAATGAAGAGGCTTTCATGTTCTCAGACAGTTTCACTGAAAAATACTGTCAGTTTCTTTAAGGAGCATAGCAGTAACAAAACATTAGAAACTGATTTTGGTTAGTATAKGGAATGAACATTCAAACATTTTCTAAGTCAGCATTTTATAAATTAAGCTAAATTTGATCACAATTGCAATTAAAAGATCGGCAGAAACTATTTCTAACTTCTTCCCTTTTTTTTATATGGTATTTTGTGGTAAATTATTTTTTTCCTTCTATGTATTAAGGTGTAAGGATGAACATACCAGTTCAAAGAGTGTATAAAACATAACTGTACAGAAACAGACTTGGAGAGCAAGTGATAACCCCTTTAGCCTCAGGGTAACCTCAAGGCTTATCTGCAAAGTTCACATGCTGCAGGGGCTCTGCTGCTGCTGCTGCTGCTGCTGCTGAGTGCCCGGCTGGGCAAAGGCATAAGCCAGCAGCCACCACATGCCCAGCCTCATCCTACAGGGAAATGGCAAACACTCTCTGTGACCCCACATGCAGYTTTGTGTGACTCCTTTGGCCCTCCRGTGTGGAAGGGCTTTGCTATGTAGTTCCCAAGACTCAAAAAAGCTGCTGGCCAACTCTGCTTACTTCTTAGTCTAAACTAAATGGGGGAGCAAGGAGCTACAAAATCCAGTAGCTTATTGTTTTCATACATTACTCAGCATTTCAAGTAATTCTGATACAAAAGAGTAAATCTGCAAATCAGTACATTCAGAGAGTTACGATGACTTAAACCTGCACTTTTTATTTCACATTTAATGTGGGAAAGGAAATGTCTGATGATCAACCGATCAATAAAGGCTGAGTYCTACTGGTATGTTACAGGGTTACTCCCCCAAGTATCCTGCTTTTGTCATGGATTCTGTCAATCTGGCAGTGACAAGAAAATGTACCCAGTGCCTCTGTGTCAAGCTGGCTCTGCCAGAGATGTCCTAACATATGCCACTTTCATGGGCAGGTTAGGTAATAAACTGGACTATAGCAACAGGACATCTTAGCATCAACTCACTTTATAATTAAATAACRAGCTGGAGCATGACCAAGGTTCACTAATGCACAAAAAAATTCACAGGCCTTTAATCCAACTCTGTTATGGCTTAGTAACCCACAGCATGAAATTTAGTCAGTTAGCCAGAAAAAGTAACAACTCGAACCACCACGGATCCAAAAGGCACCACCAATACTAGTGCAGAGTGAAAACCTCTGATTGACTTTTAAGTACTCTGCCATATGAAAAAAGCTCTAAGACAGGCACTTAAGAAGAACCTCCTGACACCAACAGTTGCAGCCAGMCTTGTGTCTGTTCATATGTAACTGGTAGTCAAACCCTGCGTTATTTTAAAATCCCAGAGAAACCCCATTTAGTTTGCAATCAATTTTTAAAAAACAAATATAGTAAGTCACACACGTTTTGAAGGATACAAAATCTCTCAGCTGTCCAAAGATTTCATCCACTTTGCCAATCTGCTCCTTATTATCCAAGTACACTGGGGCGTTGAAATAAGGCACCTTGTTTTCTTCTGTTTTACATTTACAAACAATGTCATCTTCACAGGGATGCATGAACTCTCCCAATACTGCAACAAAGAACAAACAAGCTTAAGACTTGAGCAGTCATTCTAAATGAAATAAATAAAATTTCCCACCCCTGTAACTTACAAACTACCCTCTCTGGAGGGCCCTGGTCATATCCTCCTCTGTTGAAGCCTCCTCTTCCACCACCTCGTCCAAAGCCACCTCGTCCACCACGGTTAAAGCCACCTCTGTCACCGCCGCCTCCTCCACGGTTAAAGCCACCTCTGTCACCGCCACCTCCTCCACGGTTGAAGCCACCTCCTCTTCCTCCTCCACCTCCTCTTCCACGAAAGGACATTCTCTACTGCTCCTACGTTGTGCACAGAAATCAGTTGTTTAAGATATAAGGATAAATCACATTTGAGCTGCTGTACRAGTCTCCTATCAGCCTTGTTAATTTTATGGTTGGTCTTTTCCAACCCTCACTAAAAACATGCTGGCCTATGAAAAATCAAGTTTATGCCTAATATGTCATCCACTGCAACATCCACCTCCCAAAAAGTGACCAGCACCTTTTCCRCTCATCTGCAAAAAGGCTGAAGATGACACTCTCCAACCCCAAGAAAAGTGTGTGATGGCACTCTGTGTCACTTACTYGTGGGGCTGGAAAGAAAGAACATCATAGAATGGTTCAGGTTGGAAAGGATCCTAAAGATCCTTTAGGATCTTCCAACCCCTCTGCTGTGTGCAGGGACACCTTTCCACAGGTTGCTGAGGGCCCCATCCAACCTGGCTTTGAACACTCCCTGGGATGGGACAAACACAACTTCTCTGGGCAACCTGTTCCAGTGTCCCACCACTCTCACAGTGAAGAATGTTTTCCTAATACCCAATCTCAACTTATCCTCTTTCAGTTTAATATTCTCTTATTCTACTCCTAYATGCCCTTGTGAAAAGTCCCTCATGAGCTCTGCTGTAGCTTCCTTAAGAGCACCAGAAGGCTGCTGTAAAGTTTCCCCAGAGCCTTCTCTTTTCCAGCCTGAACAACCCCCACTCTCAGTCTGACTGCAGAGGAGAGGTGCTCCAGCCCTGTGACCATCTTCGTGGCCTCCTCTGGATCTACTCCAAACGCTTCATGTCTTTTCTGTGTTGGGGGCCCCAGAAGAGGATGMAGCACTGCAGGTGGGGTGTCACCAAAGCGGAGCAGAGGGGCACAATCCCCTCGCCCTGCTGGCGACACTGCTTTGGATGCAGCCCAGGACATGCCTGGCTTTCCGGGCTGTGAGTGCACACTGCCGGGTCATGTCCAGCCTCTCACCCACAGCACCCCCAAGTCCTTCCCTGCAGGGCTGCTCTCCCTCTGTCCATCCCCCCAGCCTGTGGTGACACCGGGGGCCGCCCCGACCCTTCCGCTCGACCCCGTTAAAGCTCCGCAGATTCCCACGGGACGCACCCCTCGGGCTCGGCCGCGCTGGGAGCGCGCCCTCAGCGCCCCACGGGGACCCGGCGACCGCCATTCCCTGAGGGACGGCGGGGGACAGACAGTGACGGGCGGACACACAGACAGTGATGGGCGGACAGACACACAGACAGTGACGGACGGACACACAGACGTGACGGACGGACAGACAGTTACGGACGGACACACAGACAGTGACGGACAAACAGACAGTGACGGATGGACAAACAGACACACAGACAGTGACGGACAGACAGACATGGTGAGGGCTCCGTCCCCTCCCGCGCGGGACGTACCTGCACGTGCACCCGGGCCGGAAATGCCCGCGCWGCCGCAAACGAAGCTGCCTGCCGTAAATGAAAAGGCAGCTACCGGCCGGCACTGTCGCAAACTCCCCGTGAGGTCTGTGCGCTGTGGGCATGACACTGTTTATAATAATATTTGCTTTTCGCAATAGTGTGGCGGAGATGAACGTCCGCAATCAAGAGAGCCGGTGTGATGGACCGATCGGACCCCAACCAGTGCTTTCTTTCAATCATTTACTTCAAGGGCTTTACTTTCGTTATCTCGTCATGCAAAAAAAAAAAAAAAACCAGTTAAGGCAGGATCTTTCGGAGAGATGGGATTTATCAGTTAATAGCTGAAGCTTCTGTACTTTATTTCTAAACACACTTAAAAATATTTTTCTAACGGTTAAAAATTAAACACAGATCTAACAGCTGACATTCAAAAGAATCCCAGCCAGAGAAATTTGTCTGGGAAGGGAGATAAAATCTCATCATGCGAACGCTTYCARTTTGCTTGGTTTTCTTGTCTCTCTTTTGTCATTGTGGATCACAGGTAAGATCATGTTTTATTGTGTTAGCAGTAATTCATTAAAAAGTTTGAAAAAAAAGTTTATTATTATAAGAGCAAAACCAGTTGATTAAAAAAAAAAAAGAAGAAGAAGTTTGCTATTTCTCTTTCATGTTTTCATTCTATCAGGGGTTTATGCTAACATAAAAAATATTATGTAAATATCTGGAAAATATTTTAATCATGATCCTATTTTGAACCGAATTTGCAAGCACGGCTGACCACMGGAAGGTGCTGCACTTTTCCCTGCCTTCCTCCCTTTTTTTGGGAAGCGGGATTGCAGTGTTGACCATGGCAGCATGGTGTGTCCCACTGCCTCAAGGTTTGCTCCGGATTGTCTCGGGCAGAAGGGTCCTGGAAAGCCAATCTGGGCTGAGCATTCAGCACAACCCAAGTSTTTCAGAGAAATCCTGAGATAAAAATCAGCACCTGTTGTTCSCGTTCAGGAGAAACACCTAGCACAATATGGGAGTTAGGCCAAGCCGGATCTGGCTCTTTCTTTGGATTCTACTGACCCGAGAACASCAGGAAGAATTTAATAGGATTATACAGCCGTGAAAAGGAGAGGTATTGGATTAAATTGTGCCCCAACAACATCCTCACTGACTTTACTGTGACCAGAATTTCTTCATGAGAACTTTAAACTTCTGCTCCATTGACCCCGTTGACACAGTGAAAGCTGATAAATCACATTTGAGGACTAACATTTCTCTACCATTTTTGTACAGAGTCCCTCCATATATACTTTCCATGTTTCATCACTGATCCTGCCCACAGGTCTTAGTAAGCAAAAGCACTCAGGCAGCAGTGAAGTCACCGGAGAGCTGCACAACAAATACCCCAAATTGCTATTCTTTCATTTTTTTGAAATGGTGGTTAAGTCCCCTTAGGTTTTGATCTACTTTCAGTCCCATTCCTGGGATATGCTACAAACCAATGGCTTTAAAAATGTTTGTAATCTGCTGTGCCCTTCAGCTGATGTTTGAAGAGTAAGGAGTATAATGTTTATGAAAGATCAGTAAGAGGGAATATCACATCAGGTAAATGATCCAAAAATAAAAAAAATGTTCAGAAAAACAGACAAGGTGGCCAAAGACAAGGGGATAAACGCTGCAAATGATATTTAGCAACTTTGATTATATAGCAAAAGTCTTATGAAGGARCACTGCTGAGATCAGTGAAGGAATCTGCAAAATTCCTGATGCAATCTCTGATCTTGTTTTGTTTTGTTTTTTGTGCCATGCAGAATGCATCATCTAATGCTGAAGAAAACCTCTTTCCACAGGTTAAGCCTGTCCAGCCAGCTAAGCAAGACACCTACCTCATAGGAGAATGCTTAAGCAACAAATACACCCACAAGTCCTGTAAAAAGATGTTTTGTCACCCTTGGGAACGATGTGTGGAGGGAAAATGCCTTTGTAAGATTCCCTACCAGTGCCCAAAGAATGGCACTGCCGTTTGTTCTGACAATGGAATGAACTTCCGTACTTACTGTCAGCTGAAGAGCTATGAGTGCCAGCAACCCAAAGCAAAGTTTCTGCACAAGGGAACATGCATGCCTCAAGGTATTGACACTTCCTTATCCAAAATTTATCAGTCATGGGTGGCTGAGGAGATACTTGTACTATTTACAGCACAGAAAGTCTGTTCATTTGGTTGCACTAGTAACAACATGAAACAGAAAAAGAAAAGTYACTGAAAATGGGCAATATCTCTTGATTTTCATAAAAAAACCAAAGTGATTGACAGGCCCAGGTCACTGTGCTGCTGGTTTTGTTACACAGACTGCTGCAGGTGTTTTGCCATACAGGTACCAGAAGCGGATCTGGCCCTCTCACTTCAAGTGTTCCTGGTTGGCTATCAGAAGTCTTCTAAAGAGGACTCTAAAGAGGTCATTATACTAAAATGCAACCTGTTCTTGATAGACCTCCAGGTATTCTTACATACTCATTAACGCACATTTGTCCTTAAACTGGCACATTCTGAAAAAGTGGCAGGCTCAAAGGCACAAAGTCAATCCTGAGAAAATGCAGKAATAATACCTGAAGCTTCTAATTCCCAATCCACTGTTCTTTCCACATAACCTTTGGCTGTAATTCAAAATTAGTCTTGATTTGGTTTTGTGCTGTCTTTCCATTAGATACATCTATGTGATATGATTTTGTTTGGGGATGGTTTTCATTTCTCTCTTTTTATTTTTTTTAAGAAACATTTTCAGTTTCTCTGGATCAGGGAGATTCAGGCTTGCTTCGAGTAAAACCTGTGCACCACAAGGATGACAGTTTTGTKTGCGCTAGTGGTTGGACTATGAATGAAGCAAACGTGGCTTGCAGGCACCRTGGCTTTGAATTGTAAGTTTGGGGAATTTATCTCTGGATAACTGCAAGGGATCTGAAAAAGTAGTGATGCTTACAAGAAGTGTCAGTCACAGCCAACTGTTAGGACACTRAACTCATGAACAATATATTGGGCCAAATATTCTGATACCTGTTCTTTTCTTAGCCATGGCCAAAATTCTTTAACACTGGGGAAAATCATATAAATTCTAAACAATAAAAGCAGTGGATAATCCATTGTGAAATTATATAATTTGTTTTTGTTACTATTATTTGTATCTTCACAGAGGTGCTGAATATTACCAAGCCAATTCCAGTATCACAGAATCTACCTTAAATTCATTTCACTGTCTGCAAATAAGTTGCAGGGGCCTAGAGACAAGTCTTGCTGAATGTCACATAGAGAAGAAATCAAGAGATAGAAATGAGGGACTTGTTAGCCTGCAGTGCCATGAAAATCTCAGAGGTTAGTAGTTCTTTTTAGTTTAATATCTATTTCGTGGGTTTACATTTTAAGTTTATTTTAAATAATGAGGACCTAGTTTGCTGAACTGTCAGCCACAGAAAACCTACACTGAAACCTTTTGATTATTTTAAATAACCATTCTCCAGTCTTTAAGACAAATCRAGGCAATCTGGAGTCAAGACAGTCTTGAGCTTGCAAGTTTGAAAAATCATTGTTGCTCCTAAAGTATGTTTACAGGTATTTCCCCAAAGGAAACTTATTTCACCCATTGTTCTGTGTGTTCCATCATCGCCTCCAAGGGTATCAAGGTATATTGTGTCCCACAAGTCTTATCTCTCYCTGCTTGACTGGTGAGGAGACAGTGACAATGTCCTGCTCTGTTGGAGRGAGATCAATTAGCTCATCAGTAGCACTGCAGCCAGACAAGCATGACTGTGGTGAATCTGCTGCTGTCTCCTTAGTTTCTCACTGATAAAAGGGGAACCAAAGCCTTGCTTTGAATTCTAACAGYTTTTCATTCTCTGTAGTGAGCTTTTTTTTTTGGACTGGTGAGCATCAGCCTGAGATGCTGCTGACAACACGAGCTATGAATTATCTCAGGTCTTTCTTACAAAAGTAGTTATTCACAGACTCTTGATGAGTTCTTTCTGAGGGGGAGCATCCATCAACCTAATCCCTTTAATTACTTACAGTGGGTTTGAACTGATCATTTCTGGTTTAATCCTCGACAGTCCTTTCATTAGAAGAAATTAATTTCCCTTTTGCCAGGCTACTKCAAGTTGGAGGAGGAAAATAAGTGGTCACGCTGGCTGAAACCCTGACAACCAGGCAATAAAAACAATAAAAAAGATTCCTATTTAAGTGACTATGCCCCAGCATAGCTGTTGCGGCAGGCCTAACTGCTGACAGAATCAAATATTCAGGCAGAGTGTTTCCCTGGGCAATTATGAACCTATAGTCAATTCCACACTAACTTCATTTTCATCTTGCTGCACAGCTTGTTCAGATTGGGAGTTTCAGTGTGTCAACAAGAAGTGTATTTCTCTGAAAAAAACCTGTGATGGAATCAATGACTGTGGAGACCTGAGTGATGAACTGTGCTGTAGAGGTAAAAATTTCTTTTGTCAGATGCTTCAAAATAATTTCAGCAGAAAACCACCCACAAAKAATTTCTACAGTGATGTWACAGCTAAATTCTCTTTTCCAATAAGTCATTACATCAAAGCAATCAAACCACAGTTTATGTATAGGCAAGTGCAAAAAAGCAGGCATAATATACCATTTTGAAGCAGGCAAATGATCTCTTGAGAATCTGGATTTCCTCAGAGGATGAGGAAATACAACGAGATTATTTAGGAGGCTGTTTTTCCAATGAACTATCTTTAAACCAAAGTAAGATCTCTCTCAAATTTATTACTAAAGTAAGATTATCCATGGAACATCTGTGAAGAGTTCCTGGCCCATTGCTTGTTCATGAACAGTCATTCTTTCAGTATCTGTAACTCCAGCTGTAAAAATTCTGATTAGAAATGAGGAATGGATCTAGCATGAACTAAATGTAGAAGAATACTTTCAAAATTTGGATTTCAGGTGACAAACAGTAATGTGGGTTACGAATCCCATCATTACTCCTCCATAATCTTCATTTTGTATTGTTACAATTGTAAATCAGATTAATCTGATAATTGTGGAAACAGTCACTGTTATTTTAGGAAAA